TTTCCTTTCCTTTCCTTTCCTTTCCTTTCCTTTCCTTTCCTTTCCTTTCCTTTCCTTTCCTTTCCTTTCCTTTCCTTTCCTTTCCTTTCCTTTCCATGGCCAGCAGAGCAAGAAATAAAACTGTACAGGCCTGAGTGCTGGCATGACGCTTGTTTCATCTGGAAAGCATCACTACAAAGCTGCCTTGCATACAACACACACTTACCATGCATACAGGGCACATTTGTGAGGAAGAGATGGAAAGAAGAGCATTGTGGACTCCATGTATTTCACTGAAATTCATTTAGACATTCACACACCCTGTGCTTTCTGCTTTATTTTTTTCCTTTTTCTGGCCCTCCATCCTACTAGGTGAACAACCCTGTGAGTCACAGATAATTTCCTAATGTCAGGCTGTTTGTTAGGGCAGGGAGAAGGGTTGCTTTATCTTTGACCATCACTTTCTAGGGAGGAATAACATATTTCCCGGGAGGTCCCAAGAGGACGGCAATGGACAGGGACTGCTGGGGCCCTGACACTGTCAGCAAGTCTGAGGAGAGGAAAGGCTGCAAGGGGAGAAGTGGAGGAGGCAAATGTAGTATTTTGAATTAAATGTTGGGCAAATGACTTACTGACAGGAGGAAATGTGTATGTAAAGACCCGCATGTGTTTGAAGAGTCAGCTCCAGTCTTTGGGTCGGGAGTGTGCACCTCAGCAAAGTGTGCGCTCTTCAAAACGCATAAAGCAGGAAAAGGGCAAACCACTAAAGCACAAAACAGTTTGCTAATGGAGTGCCAGCTAGTGCCCTTTCAAATCTTCATGGCTATTAGGTATGAAAAGTACATAATGTGTCCAAATTCACAGGTGAGTAACAACCTTCTACAGCTAAGAGATCCTCTACGACATAAATACAATTCCAGGCAAATGATCTTAAAAACTTCTTTTCAGTGGTAAACAGATCTCCTGCAAGTCTTTAAGCAAACAGTTTTCAATTACAGAAGAGGGTGGGCAAAATAATTAAGAATCCTGTGCTCCTAATGACTGCACAGAAAATGCAGTTTAGCTGGTATCCCTTTTCAGAAATATAAACTGAGCATAATGACATTAGGCTAAACTTTCATTGACATGCTAAAACTATTGAGAAGACAACTACGCACACTGTATTATAGGTATATGGGTGAATAAGTGCTCTACCTTGACATAAATTAGCTCTATTTGGAACTGTAGCACTATTTCAGAAAGAAATGTCAGTTTTGTCCCACAGAGCATATATGTTAGCAGCAGTGATATTTTTTAATAGACAATATGTCAGACCATCCTTTTTCATGGAAAGGATAGAAAGGGAAAGAAGTCCATAATTCACTTGCATCTTTAAAAGCACTTGAGACAACCTCATGAGTCTCATTTGCCTGCATCATCTAAATCACTGTAAATCCCAGTCAAGGGATCCCTATCTGTCCAACCCTAAAAAGATGATGAGGAACCTGACTGAACCAAAATCCCAGCTCCATTTCAATGATGGGCCTAAATCTTTCCCTGTGTGATGGGTCTAGTTGGTCTTTGCTGTCTGGTATCGACTCAAAATGGATCTCTGCAGCCACTTCTAATTGAGGTCCTAACTAGAGTTCATTAATCCCTGTTCTCTGCCTTGATAATCCTTAATCCAACCCCTCAAATTACAGGGAGATGAATGACAAGTCCTTTACCTGGAGGAACATGTTGCTGATACTGATAGTTTTTTCTCCTCCCTATAGGATTTGCTTGGGGGCATTTTTATTGGTCTACCAGCCCATGTTGCATCCAAATTTACTGTCTATGGTGTGTTTTATGCATTTTGGACACTTGTTCTTTGTTTTCTTAGTCACTCCTGCACCTGATTCTGCTCAGCTCCAAGGTTGCGTTTGGATAACTGACCACTGCAGAGCTGTTTATAGCCCTGGGCCTTCCTGCATCATTCTGTGCCCCTGCTTTCAAGGGCTCTGCTATCATCCTTCGCCTTTACTCCGCTGTGCTGCAATCTGGGATCACAGGCAGATCCTGTATTTGTCTTTACAATCTATTACGTACAAAAATACATGTAGTGTCATCACACCACACAATTATATAAAACAAAGTAAAAGCTAAGGCAGAAGCAARATAATAGTGACCTAGGCATTAGATATTTGCAATAACAAGGTAAAACAAATCTCTAGTCAGATCAAGATAG